TTTTTTTTTGTTTTCATTGTGTTCATCGTTTATTTATAAAAGGATATTTTTTATTTATATAAAATAAACATATAAATTTATATTTATTTTATATTTTACATGATTGGAACTTAAAATTTTATATTTTTATTGGAATGAGATTAATATTGATTTATTTATATAGTTGGTTATATATAGTTTTTGTTAGGTTAAATGTTAAATTTGATCCCTCAACTTTAGTGAGTTGCATTTTTTTGGTCCCTTAACAATTTTTTGTACTTTTTTTATCCCTCAACTCTAAGAAATGCACTCCGTTAGTCCTTCTGTTAATTTCGATCGTTAACTCGCTTATGTGACATTTTTTATTATTTTTTTGATGACGTGGCAAAAACAAATTAAAAACATGTTGATGTGGATTTTTTTTTTCATGATATGGATTTTTTTTTCTTGCCAACTCACATTATTTATATTTAAAAATAAAAATAAAAAACTTCCGTCTTCTTCCTTTCTCTTTTTCTTCCTCTTCTTCCTCTTCTTTCTTCCTCTTCTTCCTCAGCAGGCCATTGAACCCAGTTTGCTGGGTTCGACGAAACCTCGCCTCGGTTCCTGCGAACCCAACAACTGGGTTCGATGGAACCCAGTAGCTGGGTTCGATGGAACCCAGTAGCTGGGTTCGACGAAACCCAGAACCCAGCTCAATTTTTTTTTTTTTTTGTTTATATGATTGTTTGCGAGATTATCCAGATTGCAGGCTGTTGTTAGTTATTTTTGGGCAACTGGTTTTTTGTTTTTGTTATATGATTGTTTGCCAAGAAATTATTCAAATTGCAGGTTGTTGTGGATTTTTGGGCAATTGCAGGTTGTTGTTTTTGAGGGATTTTTGGGCAATTGCAGGTTGTTGTGAGGAATTTTTGGGCAATTGAGTTCAGTGAATTGAGCTGGGTTTGATGGAACCTATTTGCTGGGTTACATCGAACCCAAATCTGCTGGGTTCCGTCGAACATGGAAGGAAGAAAAACAGTAACCGATGGGCAAAGATGGTGATGTAGGACCCATTTGGATGTATTTGGCGCGATTTTTCCAAGTAGCATGTGACATGGTAGAAGTTTTATACATGTCATCACTTTTTTAAGTTTTGCGCTCCACATCATCAAAAAAAATATAAAAAATGCCATCTAAGTAGGGTTAACGGCTCAAATTAACAGAAGGATTAACAGAGTGCATTTTGTATAGTTGAGGGATCAAAAAAGTGCAAAAAATTGTTGAGGGACCAAAAATGTTCATTTCTTAAAGTTAAGGGACCAAATTAAGCATTTAACTTTTTTGTTAAGTATTTTTATTTAA